GCTCATGGCTTCACTGAGTTACGCAAGCCCCTTCGCCACGACAAGGCAGTGATCCATGAAGGGGGATCAGCTCTTAAGAGGAAATAAATACCATTAATTCCTGTGACTAGGAATTTTGAGCTCATGACATCATTGATTTAAATTTAGAAAGGAAAGGAAATAATACTTCTAACTGAATTGCTATGGCCTACTTCATTTAATGTGCAGATGCAAAATATGTTAAGGATTTTCTATAAACTCCCACAGATATTTGACAGCTCTGGGCTCCTACTTCAGAGTCATTTATGTTAGCTCTGGCTCACAGAAAGCAAAATTTCCCATACCAGCAGAAATACACCTCCTCAGCCATGCTTGTAACAAATTTAAAACTGATCATGTTTGGGAACAATAATCCCTAAATTATGAAACTGAGGTAAAAGCAATCGCAATTTGTAATTGCTAGTCTACTCAGCTGTGAAGGACTATCATGGTAAAAAGAACTACAATCCTGTGAGTGTGATGTCCTTGCAAAAGGAAATACTGTACTATTTTACAGTTTGTTGTCTTTTTTATTATTTATTTTTTTAACTGAAAAAAATTACATGGCCACTTATATTGTATAAAACAACCCTTGGTGGCTAACAAACATACAAGCAATATAAACACAAGATTAAAACTCTAACACACTATCAGCCCCATAACAGTATCCTCTCAAAGAACACAAAAAAAAGGTGGGCTCACCCCCCATCCTGACCCAACACCTAAGAGAAGAGTCAGGTCTTACTGGCCTTTTGGAAGGCAAGGAGGGTAGGGGCCCTCCATTTCTCAGTGGGGAGGCTGTTCCATAGGGGAGCTGTAGCTACAAAAAAGGCTCGCTTCCTAGGGCCCACCAGATGACAACATTTAATAGAGGAGAGCTGGAGTGAGCTCAATCTAGTGGTAGATGTCCTCAGGAAGAGGGAATCCCTCAAATAACTTGGCCCCATGCCATACAGGGCTTTAAAGGTGATAACCAGCACCTTGAATTGTACCTGAAAAGAAATGTGGGGCCAGTGCAGCTCACACAGCAGCAGTATAACATGGGCAAACTGCGAGCTGCACAAAATTGCATGCACTGCAATTTGGACCAATTGAACTTGCTGGTCTTTCAGGACATCCACATGTAGAGCGTATTGCAGTAGTGCACATGAAAAGTGACTAGGGCATGAATGACCATGTGCAGGTCCTCCTGATCCAAGAATGAGTACAACTGGCACAGATGAATTTGTGTAAAGGCCCCCCTAGCTGCAGCTGACCCCAGCTCCTCAAGCAGGAGCCATGAGTCCAGAAGGAGCCCCAAATCCATGGCATCCACCCTCTGTAATATCATTCCTCTGGAGGTCAGACTGGCCACAGCCCTGTTGGCCCTCTGCAAGGCCTTGAAAACTTGGTTTTGTGCCTGAGTCTAGGGCCCCAAATGTGTGTCAGAGCCTGTCTCCTGGCTGTGTTAATGGTTGTTTTAAGATTCTGACTGCTGTGTGTCTTTTTATGTTGTATGTGTTTTATATAGTTTTTATCTATTTTTATTGTAAGACACCCAGAGTCACATATATGAGATGGGTGGCAATATAAATCAAATCAAATCAAATCAATCAATAAATTGCCCACCAACTCTGTCCAGGGGAGTGCTAGTCTGTTGAGAGTTAAACATGGCAACTCTCCAGATCCAGGGAACCCCAAAAACCAGAGCCACTCCCAAACTCTTGTTCCCTTTCTACTACCCATCATGATAAGATTGCCAGTTATGCACTGCCCCAAAGAAGAAATATTTCACCAAAGGAATACAATTTTGCATGAAATGTACATGTTCTAATTTGTAATTAATTTCTAATTTAAACCGTTTATCACATGCTCACTACTGATACACATCTTCAAAGTCCTTGCTGCTCTCCCTTTTTGAAATCCTTTATCTTTAACCCAGACTCAGACTAGATAGTTCTTCAAACAGAAGGCTCCTCATTGTAAAGCAGAACTTTTTTATGTTCTGTTAGATTTATATCCCACCTTTCCTCCAGCATCTCAAGGCATAATAGCACTCCCTCCTCCAGTTTGTCCCCACAACAACAGCCCCATAAGGTACACTGGGCTGAGAGACAATGATTAGACAAAAGTCATAAATCTAGCTTCCATGGCTGAGGATGGACTTGTGCCTGAATCTTCCTAGCTCTGGTCCCAAAATTTTAATTGCTTTACCACATTGGCTCTCATTATGTCACCACCTTAAATCATCTTGCCAAAGTATCTTTAAAATCTCATGAAACATTCTTCATGCACATATCCTGTGTTTTGCTAGAGTATAAACAGTGGAGTTAATTGCAGCATTGCTTTCTTCCCTTAATATATATTTACAGGTGTGCAAACTGAGTTTCAAGCTTGAAAAAGTCTTAAATCAATACATTTAGTACACCCCTTGTTCTCCTCTTAAGCAGGGCAGCAGCTATTTGAACTGTTGCATAAGAAGAAGGGAAAGAAAAAAGGCGGAGCTGTGTGATGGTAGTAATGTGTTCCAGGGGAATGAAACCAGAGACCTCTGGGACTGAACAAGTGGAAGGTAAAAGGTACCCTTCGAGGAAGAACAGCATTTCAAGCCTATAATGCCTTTTTTTGTAGAGCTCTGAATTAGGAAATTAAGAAACCTCTAAGAAGGCAGCTCTTTCCAAAGCAGTACATCTTCTTCTGTCCTACTCTAATCATGCTTTGTATGACCCAGACTTTGTTCACTGAAGATGTAAAGCCACAAAGTCCAACGCTCCATTGCTGCAATTCCTGGTTGTGAGATTTTTTTCCAAGCAGCAGGGCTGTGGTTAATTCTGTCTACTTCCAACTGTCTCAGACTGGTGCCTGTCTTTTTGAGTCATACAGCCCTTCCTGCCATTGACGTAATCATTATTCAAAAGTCCAATTAGTCTGAGTTTTCTGTGGATGATTGTGTTTGTACACATAAGACAACAAATCATCAGTTCTGCAAACAACAGCTGCTGGGTTGGTTTCAGACTAAAAGGCTTGAGCTTCTGGAAAACCCACAAAAGATTCCCTCCTTCCAGCTGCTTCACTTTGCTGGATAAAAAGAGGAAATTCTTCCTCCTGACCTTACCTGACCTGCCTGAACCCTGAGACCAAGTTGTAAGTTGATCCTGTGACTGACATATGAACCGTATCTAATTATGGAGAACTTTGCAAAGGACATGCTTAAATTCATGCTGTACTGTCAACAATTACAGACTGGTCAAATGTACCACAAACGTTCTATGGTGCTCTGTAGAACATTCAAGTCCTCATTCTATAGAAAGGATGCTCCTATAAATTTATATACAGAATAACATATAAGATGCCTATCTATTAGTTTACCTTAGGCATTCAATACTTTTCCAGGAATTGACAAGACTGAAAAAGATATGCTTCTCGGCCTGTGGAGAACAGGACTGAAAAAACCAAACTAACTTTGCCTGGGCATATTGCATGTCCTCTGTATCAGAAGAAATACTGCAGAGATCTATAAAGAATCATGAATATTTTGTGGAAAACAAGTGTATGTAAAATATATATAAAATCTCTCTATATACAAATGTTCATAATTGATGAAATTAAAGAATAGTCTTAAGCATTGTTCTTTTTTTGTTTGTTTGTTTGTTTACAGAATATACATTAGGAATTCCTTCGGGTGCAAAGCTTGGGCAGAATTTATATACATTATATGTATGCATGTATGTATGTATAAATCATCCATGATGGGAAGACATACAGCAGAGGGGAAAGTGGGCCTTGTGCACCACTCATACAGGGCATTTTCTAACAAACTTCAACAGGCACAAACACAGAAATATGTACTTTTAAGCAATTATGTGTACATACACTAAGAGTCCATGATGCACTTTCAGAGTGTTTCCAAAGTCATAATGAAAATAATGGGTGAATGCAGATGTCAGAAGTTTCAACATTTCTTCGCTGTTCTTCATTTTCTTCTACATATCATTTGACTTCTTTCCAAGCAAAATGGCTTCTAAATAGTGTGCCTCACTGAACTTACCTGTAGGAATCTCTGAAACTTATTGTATCATGCCCAGAGTCTTCTTGGTCTTCTTCAGATACTTTGAAGCACACCTTCTTTATGCCATGCTCCGCTTTGTCAATATCACTTTCATCTGCAACCAAAGAAGTAGAGGGTATCTCCTCTGTGGAGGGAGGCTCACATAATTCATCACCTGTTGGTTCTGTGATAGTGGACAAAAGCCTGCAGGTATAGAAAGTATTATGGTAAGAAAGGTAAAGCACATGTCCAGGAGGGACACAATTACTTTTATACGGGCTCACATAGAATGAAGTTTTGTAAAGTCCCATATGAGCTACTCTTTAATTTTTTTGAACAGAGCCTCTGCACTAAAGTGCTGACTGAACCTAGGACTTTGTGTTTGCATTATGATTCTGAAATGTCCCTCCTGAGGATACTCAACTGGGTGTTTATTCATTTTTAAGTATGAAGATGTCAACTTTATTTGTCCTGGTATTTAATAGATTATGTCTTAATTGTTGCTGTCAGCACATTTGGTAGCTTTCAGATACTATGCTTGGAATCCTTGGAAGGAGGCAACCTATAAAGTATGTTGAGCTGAACCCTTGCAGGACTTTATGAATTATAATTCAATTATAACTTAACTTTATTACCTTGAATTATATCTAGGAAGGGGTTATGGGAGAAAGACTGTCTGTGTAGCTGATACTGGAGAAAATTCTATTTTGGGGGAGAAATGCAGGATAAATGATGCATCTGATGTTCATTAAATGAAATACTTTTTATAAAAGAGTTTAGGGAGGAAAAAAACTTATGTGAAACAACACTTTAGTTCAGAACAGGCACAAAGAAATAGGAGTACATATTACTCTCTGCAAAATATTTGTGAAGCATTTAAGATTTAATTACCCACCTAAATAAATTAACTAAGCAAAGTCTCATTTTCCTATAGAATAAAAAACAAAATGACAGCTGGCATCCTGATGAGAAATCATGTAACTAAAAGGATTTGAAAGTATCTAATTCTGTTTTAATGTTTGTTGAATTTCTCAGAATTGACACTGACAACCTATAACCAAGTATTACACCCTATTGACTACGACAGTTTTGATTTCAGTAAAGAAGGCAAAGGTTCAATTCCTTCACCTAATATTTTATAATAATCTAGAAAATATCTTGAATCGCTTTGAACTGATTATCAAGAAATAATCTTGAAATAAGTTTCAGTCACAAATCTTTCCAACCAAAACCAACAGAACATCTGAATAAATGAGAAACAATCTTAAATGTCAACATGATAGAATTTCAATAATGGAAATATAAATGATTTCACAGTCCACTCATTCCCTTCAGTATGATTAAATAGAAGAACATTACATCTGCACCCTAATTTACATTCTCTTTGAATGCCTATAACTGCTTCTACTTCCTTGCTTTCCAAGCCATCCCTTTTTATTCAGCTGTTTATCAAAGGTTAATCTGAATGACATAAAGTGAACAGGCAAAACATCCCAAAAAGATACAGCCTATTTGTTCAACTAAAGCCATGGAGGTTGACAAATTTTCTGGCCAATCACCTCTGTCTTCTGCATGTTATTCTCAAGTCACTCATGCCCTGGTCACCTCCCGAATGGATTACTATAACAAGCTCTATATGGGGTTGCCCTTGAAGAGCATCTGGAAGCTTCAGCTGGTGAAAAATGCAGCGGTGCTGGCAGTTATGTGGGCTCCTCGTTACATTACGTTACACCTCTGCTCTGTGAACTGCTTTGGTTGCCAGCTTGTTTCCAGATTCAATTCAAGGTACTGGTACAGGTAGTCCTTGACTTACGATGGCAGTTGGGACCAGAATTTCCATTGCTAAGCAATGCAGTCATAAAGTGCAACTGCATCACTTACCGACAGCAATCCCTGCAGTCCTGGTTGCTATCATTAACTGAATCCCATGGTCGTTAGGTGAGGCAACTTCCTGCAGTCTTCTCACAATCAAGTCAGTGGGAAGCCAGCAGGAAGTTGCAAGTCCCAGGTGGCTTGTAAGCAGGCCGGCAGGCAGGTAAGTAGCTGCTACCGGGTGGGGGAGGGTACAAGGGGATGCGCAAGGGTACGAGTGAGATGCAGCAAGGCTTGGGGAGGGTAAGAGGGGGTTGCAAGGGAGGTGCAGCGAGAGTCAGGGAGGGTATGCGAGGGTGCAAGGGAGGCTTGGGAAGGGTGTGGAGGCTGTGGAGGTGTGTGGGAGGGTGCAAGGGAGGTGTGGCAAGGGTTGGGGAGGGTGCGAGAAGTGCGTGAAGGTGTGAGGGAGGCATGATGAGGGTCAGAGACGGTGCGAGAGTGCCCAATGTGGCATGAGTGCAGAGGGGCTGGGGGAGGGTGCACGGTAGGGGAGACTTACCCCAGTGACTTGTGACCTTCCCTGCCAGCTTCTCCAATGACCTTCTGGGAAACTGGCAGGGAAGGTCACAAATGGCAATCATGTGATTGCCAGGCACTGCAACTGGTCGTAAGTGCAAGCTGGTTGCCAATTGCCCAGATAGCAATCATGTGACTGCAGAGGTGCTGGGATGGCCAGAACTCCAAGGACCAGTCATAACCATCATTGTTCAGCACCACTGTAACTCTGAATGGTCACTGAACGAATGGTTGTTAAGTCGAGGACTACTTGTAATAACTTATAAAGCTTTGTATGGCATGGGGCCGGGTTATTTGAGGGATTGCCTCTCCCCAGTTATAGCTACCTGTTGCACCAGGTCCAACAGAAGAGACATGTTTTGGGTCCCATCTATTAAGGGACCCAGGAGAACAGCCTTTTCTGCCGCAGTGCCGGCCCTTTGGACCATCATCCCCTTGGAGGTTTGATTGGCCCTGCACCTGCCTGCCTTCTGAAAGACTCTAAAGACATGGCTCTGCCAATGTGCCTGGGGATCCAGTTATGGTTTGGAGCCTCCTAGATGGTTGGATTGATTGATGCATGACTTGCACTTGCCTGCTTATTATGTTTTCTGGTTTTAAGTTGGTTTAATCTGGTTTTAAAGGGGCTCTTTTTATTGATACTTGTATTTTGTATATTGGTTGTGTTCCTAGGTTGTTTAATTATGTGAGCTGCCCAGAGTCACAAATGAATACCAAAAGCAAACCAAATTCTTATTATTCATCTTATTTAAAACATTTGTATAGCTGCCCAACTTAAAACCAAACTCTAGGAGGATTACAACCCAGCAATAAAACAATATAAAAATAAAATATACTATAAAACAAATAAAACAATAAAACCAATGACCAACTTACTTATGTATCTGAAGGACATATTGCTTCACTTCCTTAACTGCTACATCTAGCTTGTTGAAGAGCTGCAAGTAGGAGTCCTGTATCTCCCGATCCTCTTGTTTCAACAGAAAAGCAAGACCTCTATCTTCCTGAGCAGTTCCTCCATTCTCTTGCCCATAGTAACCATCATATTGTCCATGTGGGCTGAGATCTCCACTTTCTGGAGTCAAGCACCTCCATGATGGGGCAGCCATAGTTGTTATGCAATGCTGAGTGTATGAGACGGGATTTAAGCTTCCTGTTAAACATTAAAAAAAAATGCTCAGAACTAAAACCCACTGCTTCTTAAAGATGAGAATTTGAATTATTTAATATGTTAAATAAACTGTTTTTCAAGTATGCTGAGCAACAGTGACTTATTATTAAACTGGTTGTTTTTAATGCAAAGTAAAATGCCATAACATTGAGAGCATTTGATGGAATTCTCAAATATTTAGTTAAGCTTTAAGTTTACAGATGAGTGTCAGTACACACTGCTGCTAACAGGCCATTAAAAATGTTTTATCCCAGAAGAATGAAGGAAGTCCCTTGAGACGCTACTATTTAATGATGAAAAACTTGGTGGAAGATGTTTTGCATGCAAAAAATCTTTGCTTTATTACTTGTATCTCCAAGTACTTCTCTCTGCCTAAAATACTAAAGACCCACTGCTGATCTGGGTCAAATAACAGTCTGGTATATGGCAGCTTCCTATATAAGTTATGTAAAAACAATCATGAAATAATAAAGGCAAATAACGAGACTGACTGATGGACATAATTTAGAAGTAGGGGTTCTGTTGTATATTTTCTAACCGCTGAAGAACCTCTTAAGTCTCAGTAAAGGAAATCATTTGAAATTTACCAAGACCATCAGAATTTTATATGTGATATGTAAATAGCTGAAATGAATAGGAAGCTAATAGGCATATGGGAGCTTATCAGAATCTTGTTTTGGTGCTCCCTTAACATTTAATTAAACCAATGAACTTTGCTTTCCTGGTGCCAGTATTTCAGTAGTTTTTGCATCATCAGGGAATGTCTCATAAAAATGATTAGAAAACAGCAATCAAAGATCAATTTTATTTAATTGCCAGCTTACAGATTCCAAGCCTTCTGGCCATAAGAGATTTGCACAGTGATGGATCTCTTTAGTAATTCAGTATCTTTTAAGCCAAGAAATCTTTCCTTCTAAATAAGAAGAGAGAAAATCTGTTCCAGTTCTTTTGATTATCATGTGTGGGATATTAGCTATGCTCACCCCCTCCCCATACCCTATGACAGAGTCAGATATTCTGATGAAAACTTCAAAGCCTGACTGACGTTTTAGCAGAACTCTTTTTTTTCTCAAGTGCAATCTTAACTCCAGTCAATCATTTCACTCCAGGGGAAGATACTACAGGTCTTATTGTTATTAAACACCTTGTTCTGGATCAAGGCCAATAATAGAAGGCTTCCGTCCAATGCGAATGCTGAATGACCTTCCCGTTGAGGTAGTGTTTTTGGGGTATGATACTTCCATGAGGTTAATGTGGCAGTTGGTAGGGCAAAAATCCATGCTGCACAAGGGGTGAAGCTCTGTTGTGGCTCGTTTGAAGGATGGACTCACTTTCATTTTCAACTCATCTGCAAACTAGAGAAAGAAGAAAAAAAAAGCGTTATCCCACTACTATGAGACACTAATCCATAAAATAACATGCACCTGAGATCTTGTTTTCTTCTATCATCACTCCATCCACCGAAGGAGTAATTAACTTCTGTGGCCCTCTTCCAATAATTGAGAGGACCAAAAAAAAAAAACGTTCAGAAGAACTACATAAATCCATGTTTAGTCCCAAAGACGCTTACGTCACTAAAAAAAAAAAAGCAAGCCTCCAAAAGAAAGAGCGAAGTAGATGGATCTAGATGTGTAACAGCAACCTTTTTTTTAAAAAAAAAAAAAGCTAAATCCCAATAATCACCTATTTGATGGAGAAAGCAGTTAGGGGACTACACATATCTAATGAATAGGCAATTAGATTTTGCAGTTCTATATATGCAAAGCCTCTTCACTGTATGAATGTGGGTGTTTTATAATCAGATGCTGGTATGAATTTGCATGCTCAATAAAATCAATCAACCCTTTGAAAATTGAAAATGCATAATTGCATATGCACACACCTACCCCATAAACCTTGTTATTAAGGACCTGAAAGCATACTAGTTGAAGTCATCACTGCTGTAAGATTGTGCTGGCATGTAAGATTGTGCACGATGATCCTACCTCTTGATAGCTGGCAATTCTTCTGCTGATGCTTTCTAGCTTTGTGTCACAAATCTGCCGGAACTCATACTGTGGCATGGTGACCACTGCGTTGCTGAGGGACATTAGCCTCTTGCAGTTCCTCACAAAGTTGCTGTCATCTGTTGCAAAAGCCTCTAAAATCTAAAGCAGGAAAAATATATGGATTTGCTCGGTTGGGACATCGTGACACATATTTCTAAGCACACACAGCACTGGAATATCAGCACAATTGCACAATTCCAAAGAACACTTGTTATCAAATAAATATGCTTCTTTTATCCTTCTTTCAATTAAAAAAAATGCCTAGGCTAACATTTCTACCAAAGTACGCTTCAGCAGAATATATTTTTCCCAAACTAGGCGCCCCATGATATGTTTGTTCCCCAGACATCCAAATTTCTTAAGATAAATTCAAACAATGTCTCATCTTACTAACAGCTGTTTGCTTGCACAGAGAACCCTCTTGCAGTTTCACGCAGGCAGGTTTCCTCTGTAATGCCACTAATCCCTCCTGTAATTTGCAAGATGTCTGTTACAAAATCTTGTAATCTGTATGCATGTCACATGAATGCTTTTTGTTTTCTTTTCCTTCCCCATCTTTTAAAGTGAATTTCATACTTCTAATATTTTAAATTTATTGTAATTGTAATTGTTTTCATTGTTGTATTGTGATCTACTTTGAGAGTTACGATAATGGGAAATAATACACAAATAAATAAATAGCTAAAAAGACTTGTTACTAATGGGTCACTTTTATTAGAAGTTTTAAATATTCCAGTTGCCTCATACTGATCACAAGTGTAACATGAAAACTATGGTCACACAGAAAGCAATTTCCCCTTTCCAGTATTTCAAACCAGATCTGACTATTCCCGAGGAGTCTTTATTAATACTAGAACTCCTTTTTGAAAAAAAGAAAATCTAAAAATACTCTACAAATACGCCACTAGTTATTTCTGCAATTAGGTCTTAAATATATGGAAAAGCAAGAAAGTTGCACTTTGCTGCAAGCATTGCTTTCCATCACATTTCCACCACTCCACTAAAATTAAAAAAACTATACCAACTGGGCAATAAAATTCCATCTTTAGATATGTTAGAAAAGTGTATTTTAACTTATCAGTATAATATAGCACACTGGCTATATACAGCACACTGTATATATACAGCTTTATTAAGTTTTTTAAAAAGGAACAATAAAAACTAACAAAACTGAATATTGAGAGAAAGAAAAGAAGAAAATTGGGGGAAAAAAAGAAAACAGAAGACCAAAAGTGCAGAAAAGAAAAAGGAATAAAAGAAAAAAAAAAGAATTGACTTCCAACCCTCCTCGCGACAGATGTAAGTAACAATATGCATCAAACTCTTATTCTAAATTTAAAACACACTTCCATTATTTCTATTAACCCATATTATTTCTAATCATCAAATCCATACAGCATAATTTCATTTTTTTCTGTTTACACATATTTCTGATGAAATTGCACTGATTGCAAATACCTAAATTTGTAACTCCTCCTCCTCCTCGTCTAATTATGCTTCACTCCCAAGCCAGAAAAGATAGTTAATTTCTTAATAGTTCACACATTAATGAAATCAACACAGTCCCTGCATTCAGAAGTAGACTCTAACAAATAATAACACAAAGGGGAAAAAGTTGTGTTTAAAAAAAAAAAGGAAAACAAACTGGTTTCTTGATTTTTGGTACTCTTCTGTTTCAGTTTGAGAGTCTGTGTGAAATACAGCAAATGTATGATGTGGCTGCCAATCCAATGGATGCTTATTTAGAAAAAAAAAAAGTTATGGGATTTATTCTCTAAAGAGTGGGATTACAGTAGAATGGTCATCTAGCTGAGTAAAAAATTTAATTGCTTGTAGCCTGACTTCCACATTCTAAGAATTTACTTGGCCAGGTGACTGCAGTAGTGATGAACTTGAAGCATATTGATCTGATTAGTCAACAGACTGATGGTTAGCCTTAAAAAAAAATCCTCCACAACATCCCAACTAATGCCATACATTCCACATACCACAAATGCTACAGTTTACTGTATCAACTCTAAACCTTCCTAGAGGTTCAGGGAACATGACTTAATCAAAGGCTTCCAATGCTCAGCAAGAGAACCATTATTTTTTTCTCAAACTTTGGTCTAGCCACTGTGATTCCTCCTTTCATAATTGCTAGATATTGTTGCAATGTGTGGGCCTAGGCTCCAAGGTCAACTGAAAGCATTGTTTGGTACAAGACTTGTAGGAGTATATTATAACCACACACACTATCTTTATCTCCTCTGCTTACTTCAACCAGAAAGGAGATGCTGATGTCAAATGGTAGGGTGCGGAACTGGGCTTTCTCAGTTGATTGCATGCACACCCTGAAATGCTTCTCCAAGGCAGTTTTCTTCAACCCACTGCCCTTCATGTGTTGGTCTTCAGCTCCCATCACCCCTACTTAACATATCTATTAGTCACCCCCTAATTCCTAACTTCTTCGATTCCATTTTTTCATCAAGCAAAGCCATTCTTATTTAGGAAAGCATTGTCAAACTGCTGATATTTTATTTCTTCTACTTCTACTGCTAAAAAAAAGTCTTCTGTGTATACTGGCTTTAAGCCTAATATTTGCGGCTATAACTACAATTTTTGCTTTTGATATAACACTCGCCTGTTTTCAATTATTCATTTTTTGATGTTAGCCTTGTGCTTTCAGATTCTGGTTGCACATCACTTTAGATACTTTGGAAGCATTTATCAATTAATGCTCCAATGTGTCTTATAAATTTTTAAAAATGAAGATGAATGTCTCCCTCATGTTGCACTGCTAATGCATTTTCTACTATCTGTTAAAACACAAAATCTCCTAATCACTCTTGCTGTACAGCAAACTATTATAGTAAGAGCATGCAAACCTCAGCTATCAAGAGTTTTGTATTTTCAGGTCCCGCAGTTTTCAACTGCAGAAAACCATACAAATGAAATAGCTAGAATTTACTTTTGCCTAGTTAATGCCCATTCTCCATGGTTATTCTCTAGCTCTGGGCAGCTCTTATTCCAGAGAGAGAGACCATAAAAACTTACAGCCAAACATTACAATATCTACCATCAGCAAAAAACTCTATTTAGTGATACCTGCATTTTAATCCACCTTTATTAAAATGTATTACTCCTGACTTAAATGTTATTCATCCTTAATCTTCAGAGACAGGAAAAGGAGAAACCTGGATTGAGAAAATAGAAAATAATGCCCAGTGATGTAAACCTTTGCTGTGAGGTTGAAGGACCCCTTCGGTTCAATTATCTTCTCCAGGACAAAACACTTGATTCCGGCAGTGCTGACGTATTCATAAACAACAGCATGTTCTAGATAGACATTGTCCACTGTTAGACTTATAAGATGGGTGTCTTCTCTTATAATTAGAGGAGAGTCAAAAGTCTGAAGGGACAAGCCTGAAAATCAAAGTTTAATCATTACAGTATTATAGAAACAGAGATAGGACTACTGTCTGTATAGCCTGTTGGCACAACAGAATAGTCCATACTTGTAGAAATTGAATGTGGCATTAAATATTAAATAATTATGTTTATTTTTTCTACATATCATCTACTGTCTTCATTTATCAGCTTCATAATGAACGCATATGAACAAATCTCAATGGTACAACAATCAAACATTAATATTATTTGTTGATTCTTACTTCCTTTATATACCAGTAAGTCTCACATGAAGCTCTGAAAACATTCAGTGGTAAAAGTTATGCAAACATTTGGAACATCTTAAAGTGGCAAATTATTTTTCACAGAACTGCAGAGCTGAGCAACAATCTGAACCCAACTTTCCCAAATGTGCTGTCAAGATTGCCCAACCCAATCACAGCAGTTTTATCAAATATAATTTCAATGTTTTATCTCATTTTTTTTCTCTTCTGTCACAAATTAACAATTTGCCTCCAAATTATGAATGGTGACATTGGGCTGATTATGTTTCCCTTGATAAACATTCATTTTTATAGTAAATAAGACAGTTTGCTCTAAGTGAAGCTGTGTAATTCCTGTCAGAAGAATGCCACGTAGACAAAATATCAAACGGGATCAGATGTCTTAAAAAAACTTCTCCATTTTTACGTAGCTCATGGCTATAGCCCTTTTCTTGACAACATTCTTGCTAGGAATCCCACAAATCACTTCCAATTTAGGTTAACAAGCTGAAAGAAATAGGACTGAGCTGGCATCCTACGTGGCACATGGAATACGATAATTCTGTTTTTAAAAACACCACAACCACATTGCTCAATATGACAGATGTGGACCACATGCCAAGACACTATGTAATTAAGTTGGTTTGTGGCTTGGCATTGCAGCTGCCAAATCAATTATCCTGCACCATCACTTCCAGGAGATTAGTGATTTTCTCTAGTGCATGATTGATCTACCTGATTTCTCGCTACTGTCTCATATTTGTACAGAAGCAAAAGGCCTCTGATATACCAGCAGAAGATAGGGAAATATCTCTCCATTTGCTTCCAGAACAGGCATGGGTTTTGAGTTGATTGGAAATGTCAATATGAAAGAAATGTCCCTCACAGACAAATTCAGCACTTGAGTTCCAAATTACCCACAGGTGTCTGGAACAGTTCAGTTATATATAACTGCTTTTTTCTCCTTGCATTAGTAGTTGTTTTTTTCTTTCTTCTCATAACTCCATTCCCTGAGGTATAATTCAAACATATGAAACTACCTTACACTGGGGCGTACTTTGGTCAGAACAGCCTACTTTCTCTGGGAGGGGTTTAGAATTTCTCTCTGTCTCTCTTTTCTTTTTTAGGGGGAGATGGCAATGCTCACACTGGAACCTTCTAAATGTAAAGCACACAATTTATCATTCTCCCTTTTGAAAAGATAGCTATCTAGGTCATTTGCTCCATTAGCATAGAATACGTTTTCCCCATACCTTCTTCCTGCTGGCTGTCATTAAGGGGATCAAGATCTGAATTTTCTTCAATTGAGAGATTTCCTTTATGCATCTCAGAATGACTTCCATTCAGGTATGAGTTTGAAGCTGCCTGTCGAGCTCTCTCCTCTTCAGCATCTTCATGCGTTCTGTAAACCCACTGGTACAAACCCTTCCAGAAAAGTAGGAATTTCAGAACATCAAACTGGGTAATTCATTGAGCACTGGCTTTAAAGTGGTTTACTACTGGTTAATGTTGTTAATCGTTGTATACTGATTGAGTTTAATAAGTTTTAAGTTGTTGGGGGTTTGTGTTCTTTGAGCTTGGTTGGTTTCTTACAGATGTTTCATTACCAGGCTTAGTAACATCATTAGTGCATGGGAGAATGGAGTTTTCTAGCTGTTTATATATAGCTTGCCCTGCAATGTTAGTGAGGATATGATTTCTCCCATGATGGTTCCTTCATTAGGGTATTGTTTATTTCTTGATTGTTTATCTGGTGCTTGTTTCCTGATTAGCTTAGTGTTCATTACTCTGGGCTGTTTGTTTCCTTCTTTGACTTTTGGTTTTATCTTTTCTAAAATGGTATTCAGATGGGGTTTATCCCTACTGATGACTGAATGGTCTGAATGCTAAGCTTCCAGAAACTCTCTAGAATTTTTGGATTTGGCTTAGTCTAGAATGTTGACAGTTTTCCCAAGGTATAAAAAATCAGCAAATTCCACTCCCCGCTGCACTGATGATGTTACTTAGCCCGGTAATGAAATGTCTGCAGAAAAACAGCCTGTCCATTTTCCTGTCCTCTTTGAGGGTGTCTTTCCCATCTTTATTAACTATCATTCATGAACAGCTCCCAGTCTTCCTGATCTAACTGGCCTGAAGGAAGGTATCTGAATCATGTGCAATAAGGGGTAGGGAGAGATCCTACTTGCCTTGTATGCTTGGCTTTTCCCCCTTCAACTGTGGCGAGGGGAGGGGAGGGGAGGGGAGAGGAGAGGAGAGGAGAGGAGAGGAGAGGAGAGGAGAGAAGAGGTGAGGATAGATATAAGGAAAGGTTATATGTAATG